CAAACAGGATGTTTGGATAACAAAGTTTCAAACATATGGAAATTGCATCAAAGCTATTTTGGGGTTTGCAGGACCTGCACGCCTGAGAATCTGTTAAGGTCACCACGACCGGTGAAAGAGAACCCCTGTGCGCTTACTTCAATTCATCAGCATGAGCAATGCTCAATCCACTGCTGGATGGAGGCATCGCAAAGCCACTGCCTACGTTCGTGATCCTACGATGTGCTGATCCAACTACAGCGACTCCGTCTCCTGGGCGGTGCGACGCTCTCGGACACGCGATGCTCTCCCACGCGTCCCATTCCTTGGCTGCCAATCCGTCGTGATTCTTGACCCTTGGCCATCGCCCCTTCGAGCGACGCATCCTGCCCCAAGTCTCGCTCACTTTTCTTAACGGTTCGAACGATGTCTCTAACCTGTGTTACGCGCGCTCACCACATTGCGCTGCACTTTCAGATGCGCTTCTGCGGCCCGTCTGGAACGTTCTTCATTCCGATATTAGGAAGCCACTGAGAAGATATCCACTTTTAAATCACCTGGATTGAAAACTAATTTCTGAAGAACTGCTTTTTTGCGTTTTTAAGTTTGTTGTCCTTCCACCCACACCTCCTATTAGCACGGTTAGCTACGTACGGTGCGGAATAAGTTTAACATATGTACATAACCTGCGTGCGCCCTCTGATCCACACGTTCCTCTATCCGGCTCTCAGCATAAATCACGGTGGAAGTCCGACGCATCCCCCAGACACAAACGGGGGCCGAGCGTGAACGCCCCGAGACACCCAGGGAGCAACAGGAACATGTAACATGCCAACAGCGTCAGCACATCAATCTTGACTCTAAAAAATAACCAACAGTGGACACAACGCGAGCTCCGGGGGGGGCAGGGGGGGGGGCATAACGCCGACGCAACTTGCGTCGGGATCTGAAGGGAGCCAGCCGCGACCCAAAGACACAACAGGATAGGTTTCAAACTCTAGCAATTAATATGTCCCACCCCCGCCGCACCCCGCCTTCCCCCCTCAACCTCACAGCGTTTCCTCTACAAGTAACATTTATCGTGGTCTCACGTGTGCGGTTCAAAAAAAATAAAAAAAAGCAAAAAAATCGTCTGCCACCGGCCACCCAGCCTCAACGTCTGTCAAAATATTTTGTCTGGGGTCCAGGGCCTCGAGCTTCAGAAAGCCCCACGGCCGGGGTCGTTGGCCCTGCGGGGGTCAGACCACGTTCAGGAAGGGCTGTCTGAAACCAGGAGCTGACGAAATGTCGCGGGGTTTCTCTCGAGCTACTGCTAAACAATATGGGACGCCGTCTTGAAAGTGACGGGTTCGTTAATCATTGTCATCAGCATCGAAGGCAGCCTACGGGCAACCCTTCAGATACGTTCTGCAAACGGCCACAGACCTGTAATGAGACACCAACCTCGGCTCTACTCAATATTAGTAAGTCCGTAAGTCTGAAAGCCTGCAATCACGCACTCTTATAAGTCCAGCCCATCACGAATGCGCCGCGCTGATCACCACACAGCATAAGCTATTTAGAATAACAACACTCCTTTAAAGTCTGTCGCAAAACAGTCTCCCACTCAAGAATGGATCCTGAGCATCTTTCGTGAACTGGTTCCTACTCTTTGGGCCGGAGACCCCGGTTAAAATGGACTGGCCGCATCATGCAAGGTTTGCACGCGGGTAACAGCAGCAGATTACCTTGGGCTGTGGATCGTAAATGCTATCGACTATGGTCCGCTGAGGCCGCCGGTACTACACAACTCCTCGCTGAGATGGGACGGAGCGGATTGATGCAGGCTGTTGTTGACGAGGAGGATAGAGTTTGTCAACGTTTCCGTATTTTGTTCGGTAGCCAATGCAACTCGTCTCGTATCATGGTCCTGATATTCGGGCTTACACATTTGTAATTTTCGAGTTGCAGAGCATAGAGACGCAACCATTCCCAAGTTGGATAATTTTGCGTCCAATTGTGCAGCTACAGTGCCAACATGAGCTTTAATACCACTACGTATACTTTCACGACTAATGTTATTATTCATATTCGGTGTATTGGTTGGGTTACAATGTGCAGCTGTCATGTCAGTCTGAGCTCTGCATTCTCCAATACCTGACACAGCCAAAGCAAGTCAAGTTGTTGCGTGGTCAAATGTGCCCTGATCGTTTTTGTTTTTCAGCAAAACTGGCTTTTATTTGGCCGTGTCGGGTGGTGGAGGGTCCCTTTCCCGTTCCGATGACATACGTGCACATCATCGAAACGAAACCGCAAAAAAAAACCCAAACTAAAATAACTTTATCGGTAGCGAGGCTCCCACAAGGCCAAGCGGGAGGGCAAGTGGCACAGTTTGGCGCCAGCTATCATAGAGCGCCGTCGTGTCGTTTCGGTTCTCTGCGGTGAGCACAATGTCTTTAAAAAACAACGGCGCTACGCCTCTCTAAATTTAATTAACGTTGAGCTGCTTGCGCGTTCTGAGATTTAGAGGTGAGCGGGGCCCACCCCCTGTAACTTGCAGACATCTCAGAACGGGAAAGGGTTAAATGCAAGTGCGCGTCTCTCGACAATGTACAAAAAAGCGGGACGTGTACATTTTCTCGGGGGGGATGAACCAGGAGCACACACCATGCGTGACCGAGCATTTCAAAATACTGCGGCTTCGTGGTGGTGGAGTCAGTTATGTTTAAACAGCATTATAGCGGCAGCGTTTGAGGGAGCATGCTTCCAATTCTTGAAGGGATACTACACATTAGCCAGAACGTTCCAACAACAATCTTGAGATGGAAAATCGACTTAAGTTGTTCATGCAGCTCGGAACACTTTGGGTCAAGGGCTAAGTCAAACCCACGTTAATTGTCAGTTATTAAATTAATTGCATCACTGCACATTCTTTATTTGGTGGAGCGTTGGCGCAGTGGTTAGTGCACTATGCTACGAACTCCGTGACCTGAATTCGGTATCCCGGCCATGGCTAACATCAGTGGCGAGTGATGCGTGAACCGGTCCTACCCACCCACCCCCCACACCACCAACTAACACGACCAGCGTGGTGAAGTATGGTCAAACAACCCCAATGATTGACATGGCACGGGGGGGGGGGGGGGGAGGGAGGGGGAGGCCTTGATCCAGCATTGGCTTGACAAAGTGCTGAAAAATCCACCCAAGTATTTACTTTGTTATGCAACAGCAACGGGGTCGACGGCACTTTGCGTGCGCCGTACCAACAACCGGCAGCGCTTCGAAAGAGGAGGTTGGTTAAATTTTGGGCATCACGAAGACAAGCGAAGCTAATATAACGCTAGGAGCGCCGTGAGACCTCTGTTGCCAGCGGTGAAGTGTAATTGACAGCAGAGGCTTAACCCGGGGGTGGGGATCTGAGCCATGGACTTTCAGCAGGTGAACTTCTCGTCTCAAGGCACACTCGTGCGCGCACGCACACACGCTGCCTCTGGGAATCCATGTCTCCATTATCTACACAATCTAAACATTTGAAAGCAATACCACAAGGGGTTTCTGTTGGCCCGGCTTGAATTGAACAAGCTACAAGCATTCCTTTACTTCTCCGCGGACTGAACTTAAAGTGCTTTTGTCAGGATATCCTGTGTTCGCCGGAAAACAAACCCATTGCACGTGTTATATCTCTGACCTGCGTTGCACTGGGAGATCTGCTTAGCTGCCGGCCCCTGCACGTGACTAACCAAAGCTTGAGCCGAGCGGTGCACATATCCGGCAGTGATGAACGCACATCGTACGCCCATAGCCCTGTTTTCCGAACACCGCTCCGTGAAAAACTCCCCCCCCCCCCCCCAATGATGCGTGGGTCACCACGGGAGGGGGTGGGGGGAGTTGTTTGACCATACTTCACCACGCCGGTCAGTGTGTGATGGTGATAACACGCTGGGGACGTCGACCGCGGGCCGCCAAGTTTGCAGTGCAGTGCACCCAACCGCTCTGCCACCACTCCGCCCCAAAAGATGTCAAAGAAATTGTCCATTTCTCTCGCAGGATAGTTAATCGGGCGATGCACCTTCCTTCACATATCCGTCCGTCGACGTAAAACATAAAAAAAACATTTCCTGCGCAACCCGTCAGCCACACGGAATTGTGGGAGTGCAAACTTCCATAAGCATCTTTTCAAGACAAGCAAACTCCAGACCGGTTTTGACATACAATGTCTAAATCAGCAGAGCACTATTGCAGAACAGTGGTCTGTTCGCAGTGTGATCAGACTTGCATTTACTGCTCACTATAACCCTGGCCAAGTACGAGCGGTTGACATTGTGTATTAACCGTAAACAGCTCTTCAGTGCGCCGATAATCACGTGCAAATGCACGAGGTGAGGTGGGGATATCTGCATTTATAATTCTAAATTTTTAGTAATGGGTCTAAGTTATAATGTAGTCCTGCACTCGTTTTACATGATACTGCCTGGGGTACGATGTCTTGTATTTTACACGTTCTCAGTGTTGGCCACCCACGTGTTCATTGTTTGTCACGTAATGTGCCCCGAGATGCCTTTATCTGATGCGAAGTGCGCAATATTAATAAACAAAACACCATCGGTGATGCCCCTGCTGCTGCCGCCGCTGCTGCATTGACAGTGGTGCGTGAGCACAAATGGCAACCACGACCCAGCACGTTCGTCAAGAAACACTGTGGCTTCCTGAACAAGAACCGTACTGAAGACCCAGCGAAGAAGCAGCCCTGGGTTCTCTCTGAAGAACCAATGACAGTTGGGACCACTCCCAACTGCGCCCCAACAACGTCGACAACCACGCGAGGAAGAAGAAGTATTCGTGGGATATTTCCTCCATAGATGAAAAGGGTGCAGACTATCAGGCGTTCATCGCCAAAGACTGCCCCAATACAACGCACGTACTCTGTGCGTGAGGGGTTGTGTGAGAGGCTGTTGTTGTGTGAGGGTTGTTGTCGCGACAAGCGAGGTGTGCCGGGAGAGGTGCGTTGTGGGTGATGAGTATCGAGAATGGGGGGCTCTTACTGCCGCTGGAGCGCCTGCTTGACGGGGAAGCGCTTGCCGCAGCTGCGGCAGCGGAAGTCCTTCTCCTCGGGGCCGCGCTGGTGCAGCGTCTGCACGTGCTCGGCCAGGACGCTGGCGCTGGGGAAGCTGCTCTCGCACTGCGGGCACGCGTGGCAGCCCGGGCCTACGAGAGACGCAGCATCGGCACGCGTCGTGATCCTCCTCATCGTCAACAACCGCACGAGATGGGCGGAACTCGTGGCGTTTGTGTTCGACGTCGCTTCGAGCGTTGGACGGGGTTCTAACGGAGTGCTCTTTGCCGATAACATCGGGCAACCCAGCGGCATTTGTATCACACCCTTGGCTGACGAAACGCAGAAGGCTGTCAAACGGTCCACACTTTGCTTGCTGGAAACAGATTATGCTGGATAATAAATATCGGTCTGCAGAGCCAATAGGCGGATGGACTAAACACTCTGCAGAAGTGAGGGTTGGTGAACCACACACATCAGTTTAACACGTAGGCTTTCGCGACCAATATTATTCATAATAAAGGTTTTTGGGTTAGATCGCGTTATTTATAAATGTGTCGTAACCCTCAACCACCCGACATGGCCAATCAGCAAAAAAAGTGTCACGTTGACAAAAGACAAATAATTCACTACTTTAGCCCACCGGTGTGTTGAAGAGTGAATCCACAACATTTACAGTTTGAGTACGACGTTTCGCTGGTAATTACATCCAGCATCATCGGGCATTGCCCGATGATATGAAGAACCACACAAATGTTGTGAAACTCCTCTCCCGTGGCTTGCTCGGATAAGTCGATACAGAATAGTCTGTACTGAAATAATCTGTCCCGTCTGTATTGGAATCGAGTGTTGTTTTCTCCTATTGATTCGGTATCCTCCCACTTGCAAAGACTCATTAATTGGCCGTCAACCAACTTTTATATATAGTGGACCACAGAGCTTGGGCAATTATCGTCGCTGGATCACCGCGTGGCTGCCTCCTGTTTGGGTTCTCCTCGCGCCTCTTCGAGAGGGAGGGGATACTGTTGCAAGTTGAAATTCTTATATTTCGATAATGCTCATGGCGAACAGCGGTGCCCAAACTCTGGCAGTGGTAACAAAGGAAAAAAAGCTGGCAGTTAGGCTTGTTGAAAACTTGTTCGTGAGTAGGTTTTACGTATGCACAATAGAGACCCGATGCACAGAACTTTTCTAACCAAGTAAAGTACATTCCAGCCATTGTCAATCCACTGATGGATGTAAGTCTACCCGTGCCATGTTTGTGAGGGATTTTACTTTTGATTCGACTTCACCACGCTGGTGAAAGGGATACAACGGTGGGAATGCTTGAGAAGAGCGGAAAGTGCGAAGGGCAGATCCACGGCAACCAATAAACGCCCGTTTAAAAAGCGACAGTGCAAACGATTAACTCATTGATTTTAAAAAAATAACCATCAACACGTTTGTCAATAATTGTGCTTCGTGCACCGCCACCAATGCAGCAGCAGCAGCACCACCAAATAATTTGTCTCACTTTGATTTGGCAGGAGGTGCGGCCGTGTTCATTGTTTGAAAACTTCCTGAACACAAAAAAGGACTCCAAAATTGAGCACTACAGAATGCAGACATTGCGAACGATTGCACTGACGGTAGCTCGCTATCAGCCATTTTAAAATCTCGCTATCAGACATTCCTGAATGGCCGATAGTGATATGCAAACTGTGGCAGGATCGGATGATCACGGTTGGCTATGCACGGTGCGAAATAATTTCAACGTACATCCACGCATACAGAGGACGTCCTGTACGAGCTCCATGGGTTGTCAAAAAACGGGCCGTAAATTAACCCCGGCATGACCTCATGACTTTTGGAACAAACTTCGCAGACCAGCAGGAAGACGTGCTCCACGGACCTCTCTTTCTCTTGCTCATATTAATAGCCACGTGTTTACACCAATGAGGGAATTGTTTGAATAATACACACGCACAATGCCCGTAAATAGCCTTTGGGTTCCACAGCGTGATCTGTTTATAGATGCCCCGCTAAAATAATAGGGTAATAATCAGCATCGTTGCGGGGAACAGAATTAACACAATGCAAACGAAAACGATATGCCTCTTTTACATAACTATGCCTCCACATACAACATTCACATATTTTTTTACACATCCCTATCGATCACAGGGCAATTCTGAGAGTGCAAGATATATTTAGTCCATCAGTCTATTGGCATTCCCGACCAATATTATGCATCAGCATTGCTTCAACACAAGCAAACTCCAGGCTGATTTCGAGGTTACAGCGTCTCATCAGCAGTGTCAGGCTTGCTTTAAGCATGCTGTGTGAACTGCCAAATGTCTACATCTGGCAGTTCACACCCGTGTGCTGGAGGCCAAACCTACAACGTTTACAATTGACACATTTTGTTCACATGACAAACCTAACTAATTGGCTGTGTCAGGTGGTGGTGAGTTTATGACACATTCATATTTACGTGATCTAAGCCCAAAACGCTATCAAACCAAACTAAACTTTTTATTTTACCACGCAAGGCCCACTGAGCTGTGTAACTCTTTTTCAGAAACGACCTGGCCACAAATGATAGCTCAATGAAGTGGCTTGTCATATCGAAATCATATTGACATTTTTACTTATCATATTGAAATTTGGTTTAACACGTAGGCTTTCGCGACCAATATTATTCATAATAAAGGTTTTTGGGTTAGATCGCGTTTATTTATACATGTGTCGTGACCCTCCACCACCCGACACGGCCAATCAGCAAAAAAAGTGTCACGTTGACAAAAGACAAAGAATTCACTACTTCAGCCCACCGGTGTGTTGAAGAGTTAATCCACATTTACAGTTTGAGTACGACGTTTCGCTGGTAAATACATCCAGCGTCATCGGGCAATTCGCCAAAATGGTAAAGCCCTCGCTTGCTCCCGGTTTTATATAGAGCAGCAGGGTGACGTCATCACTTAACTCATATCAGGTGCAGTGATTAGAGGCGGAGGGGGGGGGGTATTGTAATTATATAATCGATTAGTAATCAGTTATTGGTTATGATTAGTAATGAGTTGTAGATTAGTAATTCTTTAAATCAAAATGTAATGTGTATTATTTAATAATACGCTTCCAGGCCGCACTAAGCCGGTAGCTGTCAGAGCGATTAAAGTTATTCTTGTTCCTCTCAATTTCAAAGGATTCTCTAATTAGTCTTTGCCAGTAATAATTAGTTTTTACACACCACTGCAACATTGTCAAAATCAATTGAGTGTCCTTGTTGACAAGCATGTTCTGCCACTGCCGACAGTTGTGTTTGAGATAATTTAATATTTCTCTGATGTTCTTTTAGTCTTACGCTGATGTTACGTCCCGTCTGCCCAATGTAGCAGCTGCCACATGAACAATTAATCCGATATACACCTTCTGTTGATAGTTTAGGTAATGCGTCTTTAGTGCAAGATACTAGTTTTTGAATTTTGTGTACTGTACCAAATCTTACTGTAATGTTTTGCTTTTGCAAAACACGGGCTAATTTGTCAGTTACTCCTGAGATATATGGAATTTTTATTGTTTTAACAATCTGGTCGCTTTCAGCAGTATTGCTTTGCGATCGTGATTTGGCATTCAGTGCTCTGTTAATTTGAGCATTATTGTAGCCATTCTGTCGTAGTGCGTCTTTAACGTGTTTAATCTCTCTCACTAGACTCTCACCATCTGACACTGTTTTAGCCCGATGTATGAGCGTCATGATAAGAGGAAGATTTCTGAGCTGGATGATGATGTGATTCTGCATTCAGATAGGCATCAGTGTGCATTTGCTTTCTGTAAACGCTGTATGTTATTTAAAAAAAAAAAATCAGAACATCTTGTGAATGCGATTAAAGATATTAAACTCACTCCTAATGATATTCTGGTAAGTTTTGATGTGATTTCTCTATTCACTAAGGTTCCAGTGGACGAATCGCTTAAATTACTTGATACACTAGTAAAGAATACCGGTTTACCAAAGATATTCCGAAACTTGCTGGCCATTGTTTAAATAACACTTACTTCTTATGGAGAGGAGATTTCTTTAAACAAAAGGAAGGAGCAGCAATGGGTTCTCCTTTATCCCCTGCTATAGCAAATTTGTACATGGAAAACTTTGAAATAAGAGCACTTGCCTCGAGCACATTAAAACCATCCTTTTGGTTTAGGTATGTGGATGACACTTTGGTTGTCTGGCCACATGGTAAAGATACACTTAATGATTTTCTAAATCATCTCAATGCACAAAACCCGGCCATCCAGTTCACCATGGAAATGGAGGTGAATAACACACTCCCATTCCTAGATATTTTGCTTGGACATGGCCTAAACGGTAAAATAACATACACGTTTACAGAAAGCAAACGCACACTGATGCCTATCTGAATGCAGAATCACATCATCATCCAGCTCAGAAATCCTCTCTTATCAAGACGCTCATACATCGGGCTAAAACAGTGTCAGATGGTGAGAGTCTAGTGAGAGAGATTAAACACGTTAAAGACGCACTACGACAGAATGGCTACAATAATGCTCAAATTAACAGAGCACTGAATGCCAAATCACGATCGCAAAGCAATACTGCTGAAAGCGACCAGATTGTTAAAACAATAAAAATTCCATATATCTCAGGAGTAACTGACAAATTAGCCCGTGTTTTGCAAAAGCAAAACATTACAGTAAGATTTGGTACAGTACACAAAATTCAAAAACTAGTATCTTGCACTAAAGACGCATTACCTAAACTATCAACAGAAGGTGTATATCGGATTAATTGTTCATGTGGCAGCTGCTACATTGGGCAGACGGGATGTAACATCAGCGTAAGACTAAAAGAACATCAGAGAAATATTAAATTATCTCAAACACAACTGTCGGCAGTGGCAGAACATGCTTGTCAACAAGGACACTCAATTGATTTTGACAATGTTGCAGTGGTGTGTAAAACTAATTATTACTGGCAAAGACTAATTAGAGAATCCATTGAAATTGAGAGGAACAAGAATAACTTTAATCGCTCTGACAGCTACCGGCTTAGTGCGGCCTGGAAGCGTATTATTAAATAATACACATTACATTTTGATTTAAAGAATTACTAATCTACAACTCATTACTAATCATAACCAATGACTGATTA